TCTGATTGGTCACTTTATTAAGTTTAATTCATAAACCAGAAATGTCCATTATGCATTTCAATTACATTTAAAGATCATTCGAACTGACCAGGATAATAATTACTGAAATTGGAAAGAAGATCATGTCATTGTTCACCAGGATACACAATTATATAGGTCTTATAACCCAATATCTGGGATTACAAATTCATTAATTATTTACTGTATTGTATTGACACAATATAACTCGAACGGTATTAAAACTCGTTGTAATCATGTACACCCCCTGGCTATGTGATTATTTTAATGCATCGTTATAAAGAAACATGTTAATACAATTCTTATAATGACCAGCACAGCTGCAGTTGTTATAGTTACACTAACAAACGTATCACAATGTTATTGAACTGTAGCAAACTACTAGTTATCTAATATGCACAATATTATTGTAGTATAAGAGTAATATGTTACATATAGTACATATGTTATATACATAATATGTTATATATAGTACATATGTTATATACATAATATGTTATATATAGTATATATATAATTATTACACTAACAAACGTATGACAATGTTATTGAACTGTAGCAACCTACTAAATATTTAAATAGGCACCATATTATTGTGTTTATATATATATATATATATATAATACGTTATATATAGTACATATGATTTATATATATAACATGTTATATATAGTACATATGTTATATTATAATAATTATATAAATATATAATATTATTATATATAGTACATATGTTATATATACACACATATATGTATATATATATATATATATATATATATTTAAGTAGCTGTTTAGTTGTATAAAGGTAGTAGTCATTCAGACACTGTAATTAAAGGTTACAGTAAATTTTACCCTTTCTGACAATCCCTTGATATTACGCTTGATAATGTTTGTACAGTTCGACACTCAGATAAAGCTGATGTGATTGAGGGTGGTGTTGGAAGCCCGTGATTCGAGACTTAGCAGCATAGACCTAATAAATGCTTTGGGCAACATCTGGAGTAATGAAGGGATTTAAATTAATGCGAGCATTGTGCATTAATTTTGTATTTCGCTCTATATTGCAATATGACAACATTAAAGCCTAGTTCACATATACGGCATACATAGATTCTAGGCATCTGATTGATTAGAAAGCGGATAATAACTTCAACAATCAGGTTTGAATAACAGTTCATGAATTCACGGGGGAAAAAAGTACTATCACGTACTTTTTTGCCCTATCGCGATGTAATCTCTAGCCACCCCCGCCCACTTATAACGATGCTAGCCCTATTTTAATTACTTTTTTAGGCCTCGTAGAATCTATGTATATAAAACCAATATTGATTGCTCTACATTCGGGGAACGGTGGAATCTATAGCCTCTCAGTGATGTGGACACTGTAGCTTTAGCCCTCGGGAAGATAGTAGGCTATGGTCTCCACATCACCTTGGGGCAAGAGATTTCACTGTTCCCTTCATGAGCAGTCAATATTCATATACTAGCACACAAGTGGCTTGGCGCAAAATGCAAGAGACACAATATTTCTTTTAAAATTTCACTCTCCTGCTTGTGGAAAAATGAGGTGGTGTGCTAGCTAAAGCCTGTTTTCCACTAGGCGGATTTATTCGCACGAATCGAAAGCGTCAGTGCATGCGTTTACATTTTTATCGGAGTTTTTTGCTTCAGAAACAAAAAAATGCGCAACCAAGGAACCGACGCTTTTGATTCGCGCGAATAAATTCGCCTAGTGTAAAGCTGGCTTTCCACTAGGCGAATTTATTCTGTTCGCTTCCAGAGCTCTGATTGGTTGCGCATTTTTTCCCTTCGCAAAAACTCCGATAGGGTGAATGCGCATGTGCATAATAATAATAATAAAGATTTATAAAGCGCACATCTAGTGCATGAACCGACGCTTTCGATTCGCGCGAATAAATTCGCCTAGTGGAAAACCGGCTTAACGAGCAGTTCAATAGCTACATATAGGTTGAAGTTACGGTAAACACATTTCACATTGAAAATCGACAACGGTGACTAGCGTACATGCGTAGTAGCGTTGCTTACGTGTGCTTTTCTCTAGTACGAACTAAGCTTAAAAAAAACTCAATTACGTCATAAATAACATAATAATAATAATTTATGCAAACTAACTGACTTTATTTGAAGCAGATACGTAGTTTCTGAACAACACACTTGATCGTAATATTAAAATAGTAAACCAATTGCAAGGATTCACTAGCATTTTGGTGTAACGAAATTGCACCATTTATGCCCAACTGCCGTATATTTACATTGTATCGTTATAATATCGACTGCCGGTTAGCGATTTTTTTCCCGTACGAAACATTTGCATCAAACTCCACTCGGGCCGTCTCGGATTGATTCGACTCGAGTTTGATATACGAACAAGGGCAGGCACTTCGCAATGTCCTAGTGGAACGGCCTAGTTCCAAGTTGAGTCAGGTCCTACCTGCTAGCCTCCCCCCCCAACACCTTCCGCCAGACTAGGCCCCTAGGTTCCTAGGCCTGACACAACAGTCATGCTTCGCATGCCATTGACTGAAATTTTGAACAAAATTTAAAACATGAAATTAAAATGGGACAGTAAGTAAAAAAATATTAAATATAATAAATTAAATATATCACTCAGGCATTAATGAACTTGGCCTAAGCCTTGTAATGTAATTAATATTAAATAACAATAATATTATTAACAATAATAATAATTATAAATAACCATATATAATTTCGCCATTAATTAACGCAGCCTAAGCCTTGTAATCACATCTACAGTATACTATATTAGGCCTATAATCCAAACTCCCTGCCTTAATTTTTAGTAATTCTAGGCGGAAGCAAGTCAACTCGGCCCAGTCATTTTGGCCCCAAGTCAACACGGCCCCATGTCAACCAACCCCAAGTCAACTTGGCCCCAATTTCATATTGTTATTATTATTAGTTATTCTATATACCTTTGTATAATTTTTATTAATATCATTTTAATATTATTTTTATTAATGCAGTTTTAATTATTGTAAGTGCATGTAAATGAAACAAATTAACAAAGGCAACGATTTAAAAACACTTTAATTTGGCTTTGCATTCAAATCTCTTGGTAAATATTCATACCGTACACAGTAAATTGGGGCCGAGTTGACATGAGGCCGAGTTGACTTGGAGCCGAGTTGACATGGGGCCGAGTTGACTCGAATTCGTCATGACATCGGTTAAACAATTATCCATAACCGCGGCCAACTAAAAAATAAAAATGTTCACAGTATCTAACTCAAATTCAAATAGGTCCTAACACTTTTTATTATTCGTGCAGCGAAATCAAATAATACATATGTCGTTTTAAAACACCCATATTAGAATGGCAATGTGTTTTTTTTTTTCAAAATCAGACAACGAGCAGCAATCCTGTATCTCAGAAGTTTTGTAGACGTTTATCTTTGGTTGATGACCTTTTGACCACCAGAATTGCGATTTTCGAGTCGAGTCAGTCGAGAGTGGAGTTTCATGCAAATGTCTCGTACGGGGAAAAAAATCGCTGCCGGTTACATGTATACATTACCACATGATTAATGATGATCATAATGATCATAATTTGCTATTAGAAAATCTTCTTTCTTTATAGTGTGTGATGCCAGGCGTAGTGACAGTGACTCAAATGAACATCAGATAACAACCAAGAATCACATTGATGTTATTACAGAGGCTGTGCATAGAACCGATACGAATACACACTCACGGGATTGTGTAATATATGCGCGCACATACAGTACTTTCTACCAGTCCGGCATGCGTTGTCACAGTCAATCAATAATCAACATTTTTAACTTAATATGCATGGCGGGCAGCCAGGGTAGGAGGTATTATAAATTAGAGTAGTCGTAACAGTAATGGCTGATCTCAGGTTCAGCAGGCTCAGTGGATATTGCTCTAAAGGGTAACAGCCAAAGGACAATGGCCAACTAATAAAAATGGACGATTCAATTAATGAGAACTATATTGTCTAATAAATCCAATCAGTATTATCAGGGAACAGTGTAATTTCACTGTTCCCTGGTATTATAACATTATTATAGAACTACGATGATCCTCAAATCAGAGAGGCCTGTACTTATCGATAAATAGATAAATAGATAGACAGATAGGTAAACAGGTAGATAAATAGATGTATAGATATATAGACAGATAGATAGATAGATAGATAGATAGATAGATAGATAGATAGATAGATAGATAGAGATAGATAGACAGATAGATAGATAGATAGACAGACAGACAGACAGACAGACCGACAGCTCGACAGACAGACAGACAGACAGACAGACAGATAGATAGATAGATAGATAAATAGATAGATAGATAAATAGACAGATAGATAGATAGATAGATAGATAGATAGATAGATAGATAGATAGATAGATAGATAGATAGATAGATAGATAGATAGATAGATAGATAGATAGATAGTAGGCTTAATTCTAGCCTCAAATGACCATCTTTAAGACCAGTGTTATATGGGACCAAATGAAGGACGTGGACCACTTAATTACTCAAATAGTATTGATTATCGAAAAAAGTAGCATTAATGATCAATGGTATAACTGTCCCGGTTTACTTGCTATTGTCTTATGGCCTACTGTCCTGTGGGGGTTATAGTCCGTCCTTGATGCATGTTTAATTTTTCCAGGTACTCAATATCGTTGCGCCATTTAAATAATTATTTTAAATAGCAATAACATTAACTTCGTAAGCATTTCGAGCTATCGTACAGTAAAATAACGGGCTTCAGTGGAGGATCCAAGAAACTGAAATGGAATGGGCCCAGGGACAGGGACTTTCACAGATGGAACACCATGAATACGAGAACCATTCTGATATTAAGCCCCTCATCAACAGGCATGTGTGTGGGTGTTTGTGCATACAGACACGAATTGTGTATCCATGCCTCTAATGCTAACGTTTTAAAACAACAATACAAGACACGATTAACTTATTAAAACTAAAGAGCTTGAGTTTAATACAGCATAAATACAGTTTTACATTGGTGAGGCATATATTTACAAAATTAAACAACATTAATACGAGAACCATTTTGATATTAAGCCCCTCTTCAACAGGCATCCTATGTGTGTATGTGTACCCACAGATTTGAATCTTGTATCCATGCCTCTAAATGCTAACGGTTAATAACAACATTACAAAAGACGATTAACTTATTAAAACTAAAGAGCTTGAATTTAATACAGCATAAATACATAGGTGAGGCATATATTTACAAAATTAAACATTTAAATTTTTATATATTTGTATATATTTATATTTGTATATAGGATCTGTGATTAGACTAACATTTTCTTTTTTTTTGGCAAGATTTATTTAACGGGAAATCGCCCAAAAATAAGGCTAAAAGAGCCATTCTTTGTAATGTAGGCTGGAAATCAAGCGCTCCTGGGGAGCAAAAGAAAAAAAAATCACATTAATCTTAAAGGGAGGCTTAATAAAGGGCAAGAGGAAAAATAATAAACAATTATGGATATATAATTATCCAATAGTGAATATTAAATTCAAACAATACAAATTTATAATTTAATATCATGATAAATATAGGCCTAGAACATGACCGTACACAGAATTCGCCATTCTACACCACTGTTATTTACAACATTGGTGGTTGAAGACCAACAATTTTTGACATTTATATCATCATTTTCACATGATTCACTTTTCCAAAGCATAATGATAGGCCTATCTAATCATCGACAAATTATTGCGTCAATATTATCTTTATAAATATGTTATACTTTACCTTACATCTTCATAAATACATATACTGTATCATGATAATATTATATAAAAAAAAAACAAACTTATGGCTTTTAACCATCATTCGTATTTTCATTGACATAGTTTTAATAGTTAATGGCAAATATAATATACTAAACAGTATATACAACTACTACACATTTGTTACCACCTGGCCCATTACCAGACGGATTTTTGCATCCTCCTCCTGCTCCTGCTCCTCCTCCACATTATTACAGACATTATTTTTATTATTATAAATTACAAGGTTCATTGCCAATATTATCTAATTTATTAATATCATTTCTCTGGCAACTGGTAATAATAATGTATCAACATTTCTTTCCATCAAAACCAACATGTTTGATCTCACAAACCAACCAAACATAAATGATGAATATTTTGCAAAATAATAATAATAATAATAATAATAATAACAATAATAGTAAAATTCTACATGAATAGTCAATCGTGACGTCATTAATTTAATATTAAAAATAATAACACCAATTATTAGAACAATAAGAAATGACAACAACACTTTTGAAACTAACTGTAAAATTTAAAATTTATTGGCTCTGCTTTCGTCCACACAGTAGATTTCAGGTTCAGGAGACTGTTCTGATAAAGCCCACTCTGTGGACGAAAGTTCTGTCGTCATTTCTTGTTGTTTTATAGCAGACTAACGCGACTACACCCTTTGGTCATCAATTATTAGAAGTGTTTTTAATTTATTAGTTCTAGTTTGTACCAGACTGTAACAGCAGTAGACGTAACTTCATATTGGGATACTTTTGTAAATAGTGTGGACCGAAATTTGAAATAAAAATTAATCAAGTGTGATTTGTAGAGTCAAAACAGATTCCACACAAAGACCACTATCATACTAATCAATAAAAAGAGATAGAGAATTAAGAAGCAGACGATGTTTATGGAAATGGCGGTAACGAGAATATAAATAAAACATGTTATTTCCAAACTTAAACTAAAATGTTTCTTTCATATTGGTAATGCATTATTCTGAAGCATCGTTTCGGTAATTGTAATAAAGGCGTAAGTGTACAAGAAAAATAATTTAGGCCTTATTAGTTGCATAAAAAACTTCCCAAGCTACCTAAAACGGCAAAATTCGGTCTGCATTTGTAGTCATTTCCTCTAGTTGTGATTTAATAGAATTTAAGTATTTTAAAATATGAAATCCATCATCCATTAAGTCAAATTCAAACAAGAACTAAACATTGTATTAAAAATAACCATATTGAATGTTGCTGTATGTAATATTTGACGTAAAAATCAAATTTGAAATTAGTTCGTATAAATGAGTAACTGTTCCCAACGCTTACTGACAAAAGGCTTACTGATCAGATCAACTACTCGCGTCGCTGACATCTGTGGGGGAAAAGCGTGTTGCAATTTTATGGAAACTGACTTCAGTACTTAGGAGTACTTAAATTTATCTAATGAAGTAAATCAGGAGGGGGTTGGTTCGGTAGGACGATATAGTTTTGCTTTGTTGACACGTAACTATATATATAACATGTCTTCAATAACGTCAGAAGTATAAGCGCCCTCAAGAAAATACTATTAACTGCAGGTTTGATTGTTAGGAACTACAGGTATCTTCATTATCATTAGGAGCTTGTATGATTTTAAATTATTGCATCTCTTCAAACCTTTGTTGGCGACGAAGAGATAGCCTCTTCATACAAATGCTTCTTAGGTAGTGTGCATCCATTTTTGGTCTTAGAACCTTTCTTTGACCGACTTGCCGTTTGTTCATGTGTTGTGTAATACGAAGTCCTTGACATGCTGTAAGTAGAAGAGGCTTCATTCCTATTACATGTTAAACAAAGCATTTTGCGGAAGGCATCACGGAACTTCTGATTCAGTAATCCGTAGATAATCGGGTTAATACTACTGTTTACATACCCGAGCCATAGTACCACATCGGCAACTACTGGGTTCGGCTCCCAGCGGAATAGTTCGCCAACAGTGAATATGGTAAAATATGGAACCCAGCATATAGCGAACCCACTGAGAACCACGGCTATTGTAATAACAAGGCGTCTTTCTTTATACGAATTCTTGCTTGCTACAGCTCCCTTTTTCCTAACTATAAGTATAAGGTGAACATAAAGTACAAATATTATTATCAAAGGAATAAAGAAAAGACCAATTCCATCAACAAGACTGTAAATTTTATTTGTTTCCAATATGCACGTGGATCTGTCGTCGTAGCTTTGTATAATTCCGTCATCAGTATTGAGTCCCGTATGAATTGGCGGAAATGATATCATAACAGATACAAACCAGACGACGATGACTATCAGAAGCGCGCAGTTTTGCTTCATTCTCGTCTTGTAGTGAAACGGAGACGCCGCGGCGTAATAACGATCAAGTGTTATAACAAGCAAATGCAGTATAGATGAAGTAGAAAAACAAACGTCTGAAGAAACATACAGATTGCATACGACAGGGCCAAAAAACCATGTTCCAGTTACCGTAATTATACTACTGAAAGGTAGGACAAGAAGGCCCAATAATAGATCGGCAATGGCAAGAGAAATCAGAAAGATGTACGTTGGCTTCTTCAGAAGATTCCTGCTAAAAAATGGTGACAATAACACAAGAACGTTTCCAAAGATAACAATGAACGTGATTGTTCCAAGTAACAGACCAATTGTTATTTTGACCCCTAATGATTTCTCGGCTTCTGTGTTGTTGTCATTCATTTTGGTTTCGTCAATGTTATAACTCGGCGGGCTATCAGGATTTGTGATGAAGGGCGCAGAGCAGATTTTTTAAACAGTTTTCATAATATAGGCCAATTGCAAGTTGGTTTCCGTGATCTGAAGGATATAAATAAACAGTTGTTAAAATTACGCTTCGTCTAGAACTATCGAAAACATAATACAAAAACAAATATTTAATTCTTCTAAAAAGCTTTTTGCTGATAATACCTATATTATTAATTATCATAAGTATTTGAGTCTTTAAACCCCTGAGCAAGTGTTTAAATGAAAACAATTTATCATCTTCTCCGTGTCCAGAAACAAACGTGCTTTATGTAAATGCGCCGGAGAAGCTTAAAGACGCCTAAAATGTATGAACAATTACACTTTCCTAATTGTGAGCTTGAGGATGGAGGGCGTGCGTATTTAGAACATGAATAGTGAGATACTCTCTCATCAATGTCAGCTGCTTGTTGTCAAGGAACTTTTGCAGGTGTTGTTATCTTGGGAATAAAGACTATGCATTAACACTTATTCAATACTTAAAACAATATTCATTTGCACTATTATAGCAAGTTACCGATATTATAATTATTATATAATAATACTTAATATAATAATATATATACATAATATAATATAATATTTTAGGCAGATCTAAACGTATGGCTGATAAACGCTGTAAATCATTTTGAGTTAAAGAATTGTTAATGGAATAAGCCAATTCGTAGATTGAACTGCGCATGCCCGTATCAAGGTCAATTGACAAAACAAATATACACACAACATAAGTTTATGTCGATGCACAAACTAATAATTGGCTTATTGAAATTTGTAGACATGATGGTTATATTCCCGCGCTTTCATTTTCATTTGTAGTTTTAAATTGAAGTTCTGTATAATATAGTATGTATTGCTACAACTCTGGTAATTAAACTCTAAAACATACATTTTTTTTAAATTTTAAAGCGACATCTGATTGTTGAATTAATGCGACATTCTGACCACATATCGTAGAAACTGCACATACATAACAGTTCGCGCATGTGTTTTAATATAAAATGTGGCTGCAACTCGACCAATGTAAAAACCCGCTTTAAGTACGGTATTTACTCAAAAACATGTATGGTGTACCGTCGGGAAGCTGTCGTGATTATTTTCTGCATAAAATTAATTGGTCAAATCAATATTCTACTTCCGAGTTGAGAATGACTGACGTCAGTACTTCATCAATAACCAAAATTAGAAGATAATCTCAATTAATAACCAATTCATAAACCCATTCATTGTCTTCAAATCTCTTATTGACTCTGAATAAGAAAAGTGCGCATCCATTATACAATAATTAACGAACAATCTGCACTGTTCGTCGCAAACGCAGATCTCTGCTCTTTAATACTTATTTTATAAGCACTGACCATACACCTGTATTTATTTTGTCAAAGTGATGTACACATGGAGATAATCAAGTTTGCAGGAATGTCAATTTAAAGTAGATCTAAGGCAACCACGGTTACAAAACGAGAAATTTCTTAATCCTACATAAGGTTCTTATTAATATGCTTTCGTCGAGTCTTCTTGAGAGGGTGAGAGGACTTTCTTATTTTGTTGGACAAAGGTTATAAAACTCAAATGTCAATTCACTCCAACAATATATAGGCTTATTTCGAAGTACCTTAACAAATATTATCTTTTCAGTCAATGAATACTCGTATCATTGTTCATATCTTATGATCACTACCCTCTATTTTATGCAGCAATTCTCTTTTGTGTCTCCAAAACAGGATATACTATATGATTCATCAAACGTACAAATTTAACATTAAATCAACTTATTTGAGTAAAAGTAAGTGAGGATTGATGAGGATTATAAAATAATAACAAATAATGACTATTAAAATAAAACACAAAATGACAATCGGTCAGCTTATATAGCTCAATGGGCTCGGATAGTGCGCACTCTAGTGTGTTACATGGTCTGTAACATTCACATTTCAAGATAATTGGAGGAATTCTGAAAACACAATTAAGTAATTTAAAAACGTAAGATGGAGAGCCAAGTCGCAGACTATGTCCGAATGTCACTAACATGATGATAGTTTCTAAGGAGATCAATAGCAATCACAGCGTAATCGATTCCATGCGAGTAAGTACATACACGCATGGAAGTCAAATAACCCCATTGGCATGTCAAACGTTATCTTGTTATTTAGCCTACATTTTTGTAATGTTGGAGTGTGTCTATGGTAACTTGATATCGACTTAAGAATACGATTTTTTGCAGTAACTTCTATAAGCATACAGTGTTACAAATCACAATAATCTGCGCAACGTAACGAGCATTGATAAACGCAGCCATAAACAACATCAATAATAACAACTGGAGGACTTAAAGCTACGACTGTTATAGGCCGATAGCCACAAGTTAAACTGCTATTTTGTTTTGTGTTTTATTAAATTTGGTCACATTAATCTTCAAAAAATTACCGATTAAGTAATGAAATTAATCAAAATAAATAAATTAAGTAAGATTAGGCCTATTATAATTTAGTGTAACGAGTTGTTCTCCGATGCTTAGAACGTGATATTTTGGATGACATAGTTTAAATGTTACCTAAACAATTACAAGACAATGTTAGACGCACTTGACAAGGTCTCAAACACTTTATTAAGCATCAAATTGTGTTTATTGGAAATTGCGCAAAGAATAGCTGTCTTTACCCCAGAGACTTTACATGCTACATGTTCACTACAAGCATTTACACACCTGGATTAAGACAGGCGTAGTAATGTATATTGCCAAAGGCATGACCTGCATTTTGTTATCGAAATTTATCGAGAGTTTCTCTATTCCTACAAGCTCATATTTTTAAGAAAATGAAAGAAGCAATCTATACCTTCGTATAAATTGACGCTTTCATTTGTGTATATATCAGTGCACTTTGTCAAAAACAGTATAACCCCTTCGAGATACATTATGATGCTTTCACAGTGATTTGCTCTAGGGCCCTGGTTCTTAACTGATTTTTTTGAAGGGCCAAATTATTTTTAGAGTTGGTCTCACGGGCCAAAGATAATCACCGAGTTTCAAGCAACTTGTTATACGTTGTAGACCAAGGTTAAATTCTGAGATGCTGTGGTGGAAGCCCCCACTTGGTCGCACAGACCTTCGAAGTTTTTTTTTGGCAATTTCAAATTTTATTCTATTTTTAATTGTACTACAACACATTATTAGTTTATTGATGATCTTTCATTCCTTGCTTGTGTGAACTCATCACAGAACAAAATTGGTGGTGCCAATATTTGCCCAACGGCAGGGGAGGAGCGATGTTCCGGAATCTCTGGAAGGGTCTAGAGGGCAAAGACCCTGGAAGCTCTAACAACTATAGTGAATAAATTTGAATGCTTAATGCCCGTAAACGATTTTACAGCCTCATATTCTGTAAAAGTTATATATGATTTTCCCCCTAACGAATGTGTTTGAGTTTCCTTCGAGGGAACTTTCTCTTTTACGATGGTCCTGCCACCTCAATTGGCACCACCACTTAATTTCAATTATTGCAAAATTAGAGTTTTGTAGGGAGGCTACTTAAAACGTCGACGGTTTTAAGTAGTGAAACCCATAATTCGTAAATATTCTATTTAAATTTCCCTTCATTTTGGTTTTGTTAGGCCCTGGTAATCAAACTGGGTCGCAACCAAAGTACGGTAATTAAAGTTGCCGAGATAATTTTGCAGGGTCGTCGGACGTGTCTTGTTGTCGATGACTGGCAATAGAACTTGTCATGTCTTGCTTTCTTTGTGCAAATGTACATGTATGCGAAGTATCGTTTCCTGACTTAAGCTTTTTTCCACAAAGTAAAACTAGATATTTTTCTTCTATTGTATTGACATTGATTCTTAGTTTGTTTCTCATGGAGGACCTCTGCGTTTAGGCCTATATCAAATATAGTTACCTGCTCGGTCGTTCATACTTTGAAAGTATGTTATCAGTGACGGGTAATAGAACTTGACGTGTCTTATTTTTTTTTGTGCAAATGTAACTGTATGCGAAGTATCGTTTTCTCAATTGAGCTTTTTCCCACAAAGTAAAACTAAATCTTTTTCTTCTATTATATTGATATTGATTCTTACGTTTGCTTCTCATGGAGGACCTCCGCGTTTAGGCCTATGCCAAATATACTTACCTGCTCGGGCATCCATACTTTGAAAGTATGTTGCCGGTGACTGGTAATGGAACTTGTCATGCCTTGCTTTCTTTGTGGAAATGTAAATGTATGCGAATAATCGTTTCCTGAATTATGTTTTTTTCCACATAGTAAAATTTGATATTTTTCTTCTATTATATTGACCTTGATTCTTACTTTTACTTTTCATGGAGTATTTATGCCTATGCCAAATATTATTATTATTATCAACTTAGGTCACGCGATCAATGCATTTATTGCGTTGACTTAAAACGCACTGACCACATGGGAAATCATCTTGGTCGTCAACACTATTTAAATTCATGGGAAAGAAATTATGCTAATTACTGTTCGAGTTTGCATCTCGTAAATGTATATTATAGTATTAATTTTACAATTAATTTATTTTATTATATATTTGTCTGTCACACCCAACAGTGTTAGCCACACACGCTATTTAAGTGACGACCAAATAAAATATTTTGACATAAAACAAAAACGTTCGTGGTAGTACAGAACACACTTTAGTAAAACCAGTGAAGAATCCATGATTTACTTTTTGCAGAGAAAGTGGGGAATGAATAATGTGATATCAAGGAGCTATGGTCTAAAGGTGTGTGGAGGGTGAGGGTGGTATGTCCGATAGGAGGGTTAGGGTGTTATCTTACATCTTGTAGTGGTCCAAATGGGTATGTACCCTGCACGTTCCGGAGTTTTAACCTTTTCAATATTATTTTATGGATTGTTTGGGTGCTTCTCCATTTTCCACCTCTTGAATCCGCCACTGAAGTCTCAACAAGGTAAGACGATGGTAAATATAAAACAACAACAAACTTACAGTATCTCTCCGATAAGAACGCAAATAACACAAAATAGGCTCCCAGTGGGAGCGTGTGTCTACTGTTGTGAATTGTTAGTGAACTTTCTAGGACAGGTCTTATCTAGCAGCTTTCTGTGTGTTTTCAATTCAACTGATAATGTGTGTGTGACTAGGTACAGGTCTTACCTAGAAGCATGGCATAATATTTCGTAAAATTGCTTTACATTTTTATTTTTACCTTAAGAGTCGACTCATCCCAAATATCATTACTCCACCGGATTTACTATTACAAGTTCAACCGGATTTACTCTAGCAAGTTCAACTGCCAGACGACAAAAAAGAGTCTGCATGCCCCTGCAACGGTTAGACACAAAAACGATTCTATAAATTCTACAATTGTTGCAACTACATGAAAACGTTATCGTTATACATTACAAAAAAAAACAACTCATTGTCAGATATGAAAGTAAGGATAAGAGATCTGCTACCACAACGTAACATGAAAAATGCTAATGTAAAATGGTGATCCCAGGAGCCACGGGTCACACATTATCCGTTTTAAAACATCATGAAATTGACATTTAGTGTGAACAACTAGTATATTCTTACTTTCTTCGATTATGTAAAAAATTACGTGTTTTGTGTTCACATTTATGACAGCAATAACCTTATTTCAATTTATTGACTGGTATATTGTAAGTGTAATTTATTTAATTCCCATAATACTGTCACATAATCACTAATATGAAAATAATCAGCCAAGTCTGCCTATCTCGTCTAATGTTTCCCGGCAACAGAAACACCAATTGAAGTCACGTGATACAGCATTAGAAAATTAGGGAGTATTGAGTGCTCTGAAACATTACATTAAAAAGAGTTCTATGTCAATAGAGAACATAATATAGACGGAGATAATGTGCAGCAATTTAGGAATTCTGCAGCACAAATGGTTCGAGATTGCCTTAATTAGTATGATAGATCTGTCTACACATTGATTAATAGGTCGATGATCGGTACAGCTTGTTTAGCGTTATCAAAGATACTGTAACATCTATCTTTTACGCATACTTTAACTGAGTGTTGAAACAGTTATGTCCATAATCATGCATCATTACATTTCTATGTTTCTTTTCGATAAAATTCCATAGAATAAAGAGATCGTCTTACTGTGTAACACTGCAGTGTAACACACGTTAACTAACTGTAAGCCATGGTGCATTTGCTACATAGGTCTACTTCTAAAACGAGAATACAGTAACAAATTACTAATTGTAATTATAAAATGATTTATTACCGTAACTTTTATTAGATTTTCTTTAAAAAAAAAACCTCTTGACTAGATTTTCGATGAATTGCAATCTTTAAATTTACTATAGGCCTATAAACAGTTTCTAAAATGTATACAGTATTTCGACGTTCACAACGGACTTCACCACATGGATTGATGTATTGAAAGTTGCAAAAAAAAATGACATATTGTATGCTTTTGAAAAGTATAACTGTAAATTAAAACATTCAGACAGTAGAATTTAGTTTAACATTATTATAATTGTTTAAATCTGGTGAAAATCCAACTTTAACAGAGATAATCCCGACAAAATTTCACATTATTGAGCTTCAAAAGCCTTACTCAAGCGCAGAGACTCTTCGTTTACACTATCTAAATATTAAACACTTAATTATTATCATAATTATATAATAATAATAATAATAATAATAATAATTATTATTATTATTAATATTATTACTATCATTATTTTTATCATTATTATTATAATTATCATAATAATTATTAATATTTTATTATTATGAGTATATCTTTTATTGCAAAACGTGTTTGATATTACAATGGTACACATAGGAAACCTTGAATGAACTATGTACGTTTTGAATCGGTACTGTTGGCAATATACAGTAGTCGTTCAATTCAAACAATCTCACTTAGCAATATCAACTTATCTACGGTGTTTTATTGTTAAATGCACAGGAAAATTATTTAAAAGCAAACATTTATATACCAGTATAAATGTAAATCATCAGAAAATCAAAAAGTATTTTAAACTAAGGTAAGTCACCTAAAAATGATACTGTATTTGCTTGCAGAGTGGATTCAAGGTGGTGGCCAGCCGCCACCCCCCCCACTCCTAAAATTTTAAAAATTGGTTATATTCAAATTTAAGTCTGAGAGTACCGTTTCCGGCTATCTAGAGATGCCATACTAATAAGATGTCTTACCTCAGTCCCAACCATCTTGGAGCTGAGGTGGTCTAGTCCTTACTTGTTGAAGTCCCTCCTTGGGCCCCCTTTTTTGAATACATGAATCCGCCATGATTACAGTTGCACAAGAGTATATTTGTCGAATCACCACACCACAAACCTTAGTTGGTGAACAGTTGATTTGACGAGTAGTTGCGGCATATAACAACACGTAGGGAAGTAAACGTTTCGTATATTATTTAATCTAGTATTAGCTATTGCAACAATGAGACTGAAAACTATTTTCCCTGCCAATAAGTGACAGTTATAAATAACGGCCTAAAACTGTAACTACATTCTTTGCATACACTAAAACCTCGAGTAGAAGCCCAATGATAATCAAATTCAAAGCAACTCAATGATTTATCTGAATTGCTTAAAGATTAGGCGGGCCTATATTGACGCATGCGTAAAAGCGATTTTAAAAAATTATCAAAATTAGAGATGTTCATCATTTAAAACAGCGGAAAATGTGAAAAGAGCACCTACTGCCATATTATATCTTCGAGATTATGTCACGATCATAAGTCTACTTTTCCTCGCATTTGCCCGTTGCTATGTATAGTCAAGGGCCACCAGCACGTTTAAGTAACCTTTTCTGTACTGTATTTTGGACCTGTCTCTTTTGTGAAGTAAACTTAATGAGATGAGATGAAAGAGTTCATTTTAAGCAAGATATTATTTTTATTTTTATTTTGTAACGAATTTAAGTAACATTTTTAGCGAAGTATAATTGATAAATCTGACATAGGCCAAAGTTAAATCATGAATAAAGATGAATATTTCTTTTTGTGTTAAGCAAGTTTGAAAAATTTAGCCCCTAGGAATTAAATATTCCTTATAATAAATGTACTGCCCTTTTAATGCACAATATCAGGTGCAGTAAAGTAATACGTATAATTAAGACTGTGTATATCTGTTGGACTCTCTTAGTTACAAGCCTCGGGCGGTTGGCGGCGCTCACTACTTCTGTTGCCAAGTCTTGGCTTTGACAATAAGACCTCACTTTAGTATGTTATTTTTCTCTGAAGATACTCTATATTGGATACGATTACACGCTTGTTGTAATACTGGACTAATTAGAATCTGAATGTAAAACATCTTTAGATATATATTTCAATGTTAAGATCTGTTGATATTTGGACTCGGATAAACAGAACCTTACAGCTATAAACAGAGGTCAATAAAAATTACCCCTACAGGAACAATTCAATAATAGAGTATCTATGCCAACGTAAGCAGATAACAATCGACGCGCTTTTGAAATTGTGTTTAACGATTCTTCGCATTCTGCCAAGAATAATTCGCGCAAAAGAAATTGTCATTTATATTGTTATTGTTATTTTTAGAGTCGTTACAGAATCTAAATATATTTCTTACAATAGATCGTTAAAATAGCACGACTGCAGAATAAACTGATCAAATAAGTACCTATATAAAACGTCTTGAACTTACGTGAGACTAATACTAAGGCATAGTTACATTTATTTATGACTATCAGGCCGTGTTAGTTCCTAATTTATGTTGTACGCTTCATGCACATTACTAATAAGCCTGGATCATTGAATGGTATTATTCAAATCCAACTGATAAGTTAAAAATGATTTTATAATGCATTTTATACTACAGAAATCCAAGGTCCTATCTTACTCTAGATTCAGGATACAAGCACTATGACATGAGTATTGGGACGCCATCTACGCCGCATAATCTTAGTGCTAGCAGATACCACATTTTCATCAAAAACTACATTGCGAGTCTCATGTACCGCGAGGTCAAGTTTTTATTTATATATATGTTTGCCGATGCAGCTTTTAAGTTATAT